CCCCCCCCCCCCACAGCCCCTGGAACCCAGCAGGCGCCGGTGGCCCCTGGGCCACCCCGACCTTTCTGCCCTCTCTGCGCCCTCCAGGGCCAAGCCTGTTCTGACGCCTGCATCTCACAACGGGCACTTCTGTTGTGGGGGCCACTGCCCTCCACGTCACACTTTCAGAACAGACGGGGCCTTCACAGGGACACCCTTGGGGTTATGGCTTTCCCGCTGGACTCACTGCTCCCCCCGCAGCTCTGCAGGGGACAGGCCCCCGCCCCGGGGGTCCCAGGAGGTCCCCAGCCCCGCTCAGCACTAAGGGCCTGGGCTGGCGGCAGCTCCCAGGCTCACTGTCTTTCTCACTCTGAGGAAGCCAACCCACGTTTTGTTCCTCTGCAAGGCCAGCAGTCAGGATGGACAGGAGGTCGAGCAGAGAGGGCGGGGAGCCAGGCCCTGGACGGCGCCCCCACAGGAAACCGCCGCCTGGAAACTCTGAGGCACTCCAAGCAGTTCCCAGCTGCCCGGCTCGGCATCATCACGTGCGTTCCAGAGCACCTCAGAGCCGTGGGCAAGACATTCCGGGGCGCACGGCGCGAGGGCCTGCGGCGCCCGGGGAGGAGGGAAGCGGGCTAGGGGGGGAACACTCAGCATCTTGAAGCACTTGGTGTTGACATTAGTTCCCAGGAGCTCCAACTGGTTCCTTGAGCTTAAACGGCAACAGTCTTGACCCTCAGGAAAGCGGCTCCGATGGGGGCAGCACCAATCCCAGAATGGGGTGGCAGGGGTCTTCTGCCCGCTGCGTCCTACACCGTCTCGCGGGCGGAGGTGGGACCTGCCTGCCCACCCCTTGGGGCCATGCCATGTGACACCGTTAGTACATGCACTTTGCATATGGCTTGTTAGACGCATGGGGGTTACAATCACACCCGCTCATGAGAATTCTCCTGATCTTGCACAAAGCAGGTGCAAAATCTTCCATCCAGGAATTTAAGAGCCTGTGTGATTTTTCTTGGTTTTGCCTGCAAGGCTGTATTCTCTCTGTGACTCAGTATGTGGATGGCTCTCCCTGAGGGAAGCCGTTAGAGTGGAAGCTAGGAACCGGGCTGGTGCCAGGCTTAGGATGGGGCAGCTGCCCCTCAGCACCCACGGGGGCCCGAGGCCTGTGCCAGGATACATCCCCGTGTTCCTCAGGGCCCCGCCCCCTGTGCCCCAGGAGACTTCCTACATGGAAGGCCGGGCTTCCCAATGTTGGGCCCAGAGCCACTTCCTCTGTGAGCCCCGCAGCCGGGAGTTGGAGGAGAAAAGAAGGGGAGACACTGGCCATCACTGTGTCATCGCTTCCCAGACGGGCTGTGTGGAGAGGCCTCGCTCGGCCTGCTCCTGGGAGCCCCCCCATCTGGCCCTGGGGGGTTTGGGTCAACCACCAGGCCGTGCACTTCCTCTTCTCAGCAGACTCCCTCTCCCCCTCCTGGCTGTGCTTTTCCATGGGTGCGTCGGGCGTCCTGGGCCAGCAGTGGCCGTTCAGCTGTGCCTCACGCCAGCTCGGCCATCCTCCCCCACCGTGGCCCCCTGCCGCACGCCTCACAGTCTTCAGGTCGCTCTCCCAGCTCCAGGTCAGCCTGGGAGCCTGTCTCCCTGCCGTGCTCTCTGGCCTGGGCCTCCCTTCCCCCTCCTGCCTCCCCTTTTTCTTCTTCCCCAACCCCCTTCCCTCTCCTTCCAAGAATATGCCATTTCCCAGAAAATTCCATTCCCCAGCCATAGTTACGTTCATGCATTTCCCCAGTTCTAACATCACAGAGGAATGTCTGACATCATCTCCACCAGCGGATCCAGCGCCCACCAGCCCCCACCCCTGCCTCTCTCCCCTCCTACCTGTACCAGCTATTTGCTGTCTTGACTCTGATGAGTTTGCTTGTCTCTTGAACCCTGTTCCACGCTGCATCTCTAGGACAGCGTTGCTCTGTGAACGTCAGGACAGGAGCCAGGTCTTGGCCTCGAGGGACATTGTTCGTTGGTTCCCAAATTTTCAGAGCTGCGAAGGAGAGAGAGGAGGGGCGGGTCCTGTCCACGGTGGGGCTGGGAGCATCCTCTCTGCGTGCTCCTGCCAAGCACTCTGGGGGCTCTCCTTGCAGTGAAGACCTCCCTGGGGAGGGCTGACGGTGGCCCAGGGGACCTCCTTCCTCAGCAGAGGGTGCTGGGTCCAAGTGGGCCTTCTCGGGGCTCAGTCCCAGGGGAGTCTCAGATCTGGGGGGGTTGCAAGTGGCCAGTTTTGTCTCCCCTTCCCTCCTGCAGCCTGGAGCCCCAGGATTACTGCCCTGCCTGAGTGTACTTCTGATCAAGGGCACCACCCTCATCCTGCCCCTCTGCTGGGAGGCCACCCAGGGTAGCAGGAGGCCAGGTGATGCAACAAATGACAGGAGGCCGAGGGTGCTCAGGGGAACTCCTGTGGACTTCTCAACAAGGAAATACTTTCCTAAAGAAAAATTCCTTAGGTATTGCCCTAGCGCCCCAGCAGCGGCCCCCATCAGAAGGCCCATCTCTGGCAGAAGCCCGCTGTTCCCACTCCCCAAGCCCCTCTGACAGGCGTCTACATGGGTGGTTCTCAATCTCTCATCAGGTCCCCTGCAGGGTTTGTTAAAACAGAGCGCTGGGCCTCTGAGTCCGCCTCTAGGTCTGGCCCAGGGCCAGAGAAGTTGCATTTCCAGCAAGTTCCAAGGTGCTCCTGCTGCAGGAGGGGGTCCACGCTTGCAGACCCTCAAGTCTATAGCCTCTTCCAAGGTTCACTTCCAGTTTGCCACAGACTGAAATCTGAGGAAAGAGCAATAGCAAGACACCAAATAGGGAAGGGGAAGCCAATACCGCCTCAGCGGTTGCGGGCTGGCAGGCCTTGCGTCTCGTCTCAGCCCTGGGCTCTGTGGGTTCCACACTGCACACAGTCCATGGACATCTGCATATGGTGATGTTGCTGGTGCAAACACACGCCAGTGACACACGCCAGTTGTCAGGCACGCTCCTGGAAATATGATGTCTCTCTGACTTTGTAAATGCTCGATAACCCAACTCAACAAAGATACTGACTTAGCCCGAAACGCCCAGAGTACCGTGGCAAAGCACTCTTGGGGAGAAAAATAGCAAATTAGACACTGACAGGGTCCCGCCTCTGGAGCCTGACGTCCCACAGGGCTGACAGATGTTACACAAATACCTCTGCAGGTACGAGTTTGGAAAGGGGAGGACAAGAGGCTGCTCTGGGATTCGCCACCCTTAAAAACCTAACTTTCTGCGAGCAGACATTTCCCCCCTCGGATCGCTCCTGCCCTGCTGATTTGTACCAGATCATAAATCTTTGGGAGATGGAATTAGCCCCAAATGTGCTGTTAGTTGGAATGGGCTTTCATTGTGTTCACCTGAGGGTGAGCCACACAGCCACTTAAAACCAGAGGTTAAACAATTCTGCAACTTTCTTGCTCATATTGTTTAAATTAAGATGAATTTCTGGCTCCCCCCAGCCGAGGAGTTGATGGGAACAGCCAGGCTGCTGGTGGTGGGGGAGGCTGTAATTCTGTCTTCCCGGAGGCCGCCGGGCTGGAGGGGGCAACATGTCGGTCAGATGTGCAGGCTGCTTAGCAGAGAATGCCAGCATCTCCAGGAACCCAGACACCATGTGGTGAGATGCATTATCCTGTGTCCCAGGGGCGGCAGCCAAGTGAGTGGGGTGAGCTCCGTGGTCACGGCAGATGCTGGCCGGCCAGTCTTCCATCCCAAAGCACTCCTAGGAGCAGCTTGTGTCTAAGGAAACTTATTTTTCAAGCTGACAGGACATTTTACCCTCTTCTGGAAATTATCTCTACTCTCCTGTGGGAACCAGAGGGTAACCACATAGACCCATGGAAGAGATCGTTCACGTCTTTGAGGACAAGGATACTGTCTGGCTCATCTGCATCAGTTTCCCACACATGAGTGGTAGATGTCCAAGTTTGGTCCAACCCTTAGAATCTGTGGCAAAGGCTTAAATCCTGGGGCCACTCTCTCTAGCCCACTATCTTTGCAGAAATGCACCCCCAGAATCCAAGGTGATTCTTGGGTTGCCACTGGGTAGCCAGGGAAGGCGGAAAACCACAGAGCCTTCAGAAGTCAGCTGGACCCGTAAGGAGTGACAATTAGGGATGGCCTTTGAAGCCCTCAGTTCTTCCTCTGTAACCAGGGTAGGTCTGCAGAAATAGGGTGATGCCTGTAAACAACTGAAGTGGTACTTTTAGATTAGCTTTACAAGGCCCCCCCATGTGAGTGAGCCCAGGTTTTAAGAGTAGCAGTGCTATACATACTCTCAGGAGATGGTCAGTTTCTGAACATGGTATTGCTCACCCATTTTAAAGATACGCCCTTCACTTATAGATCAAAGCGTTTCAGTTTTGGGTCTAGAGACCAGCGATCTCCTGCATAAGCATCTCTCACTGCCTCCTTGCCCAGCATCTGCACGAGAAGTTAATTCTGCAGGGAAGACTTTCTATCACAGCAGAACCTGTGATCAAAAAGAGCAGGCGGATGTCCTCTGGGGATGGGGCTGAGTACCACCCTCGGGGTCTTGGCATGAGCCAGGAGGGCGGCTGGCCCAGCCTGAAGCCTTCAGTTATGAGAACACCCCACTTGTCCTCACCTCTCCGGACAACTCACCCAGGATGAGGACCAGGAGAACAGCCAGCATCGCTTAATCACCTCCCGAGGGCGTGGGAACCCACAGGACCCCCAGTGTTGCCGGACCTGCCTCTCAGCTACTGTCCCTCTTCTGAACGTGCCTCAACACCCTGGTTGCCTGTGATGTGTGGCTTCCCTTCTTTTCTAGTCTGTCTCCTGTTGCATCTTTTATGGAATTCAAATCCCAGCTCTTGTATATGTTAGTTGTGAGATCACGGGCAAATTTCTTAATCTTTTGTGCCCATCTCTTCATTCTGTAACATGTGGATAATGACATATATATCATAGGGCTCTGCAAAGATGAATGAGCTAATGCTTGCAAATGCTTAGACAATGTCTGGCAGGGGTGAAGTCTGCAGTACGCATCAGCCACTGTCTTGATGGGACCTGAGGGCAGGATTCTCATGAGGTATTGGTACAGACCACACCAATGAATGCAATGGAATGAAATATGCTATAGATTTCCTATGCAGCACGTTGGAAGTGTCTAAATTTCTAACAAATGCCGAACAGTGAGGTAAATTGCATAGCATATGCTAGAAGAGCCCTCTATTTATGGCACCATGTTATATAATCCAATGTCAGTTGGGACTCCTGACATCCCAAAACTGGCTTGAACTGTATCCCACATATAGTGCAAGTCCCAGAGGACAATCCCATAAGGATTTCATGGTGTGGTCCCTTGGCTGGGGAGTTAGATTTCTCTACCTGCCCCAGTTCTCTTAGTCTTCAGTTTACGAATTATCTTGCTTTATAGCCTGTATGCTTTTTTTCTTCATTTGCACCCACTGAATCCTACTCCTATTCTTTCATTCCCCAAACAACACTGATACAAAGCCGTGTGTGCAACAGGCTGTTATTGAAGATTTGGGATAATGAAGAGGGTTTACGTTTTAGTACTACCGTTTGTAAAAGTCCGTTTGTCCTCCTGCCACTAGGAAGCCTTCTCAAGTTCCCTCTCTGGAGGTTCCAGTCCTATGATTCTGCTGCAGGAAGCCAAGCGGCTGCTCAGTGTCTAAAATCAAGAGTATATTTCACTCCATCACATCCAGCGACCAAGCCATGTGGTTTGATCCCACTTTCTTTTCTGCTGCTCAGCACCTGACCCTCCAATGTCTGCTAACTTTCTCTGCAGAAAAGTAGACTTGGGTCTCACTTTTTGAAGAAATATATTAAGGTATCTTCAGACACAAATGTAGTTTTGTCTCCGAGAATGCTGACGTTACTGTAATTTTGTATCTTTATGTCTGGCTCCACAAGGGGATCATGAGCTCTTCTGTAGGAACCTATGCTGAATCCCAGTCTTGGGCAGGTGGAACAACATAGTGGTTAAGAATCCACTACGCTGGAGTTAAACTGCCTGGATGCGAACACTGGCTGTGCTTTACTAGTACGTAACCAGCTTAGGAAATGGGTTGTAGGGATGATTGAAATGAGTGATTTCAAAGCTGTGTCTGAGACACACATTGGGCGCTCAGCAAACGCCTGCATTAGTTACTCCTGGGTGGGTCTTTGCTGGCAGTCTGCAGTGACCAGTTTCACGCACGCACGGTGACAACGTCATTCCAAATTGGGAAGAGGCTTTTGGTGTGATTGAGTAACCCAGTTTTCTGATGTAGGGCAAAGTGTAAGATTTTAGATATTTTTTTTTCCTTAGTAACACTGTAGTTCAAGTATTTGGACACAATAAAAGAAACTTTTACTTAACCAAGCTGGGAGAAGAATGGAAAAGAGTTGTTGCTTTATCTAAACAGCAACCTGCCACAAAACCATTTTAGGCGTCCTTTATTACTCATCACTTAACATTGAAGACTCATTTGGGGCCTCTTTTCTATCTCGATAGAGAACAAAACAAATTTAAAACATTTTTAATTTGAATTTTAGACAAAGAACAAGTATTGTATTATAAAGAGTTGCCTGAAAGCATGTAAGTGTCTCTTGTCAGTGTTTATGTATTGTAAGCCAACATAAATATTAAAGGAGAGAATGGTACATCTCTCCTCCTCATCTTTAACCCATTCTAGTTTAGCATGGATACAACCTTAGAAGGAACATCTTGGTGAAATGACCTCTCCAAAACCCCCGCCTCAGGTCCCGAAGGCCCACGGGTGAAGCACTGCTGGTATCGGCCCGAGTTGCCAGAATGATGAGAACAGAATGAGAGCACAATCTCGCAGAGCAGCAGTGCCGACAGGTTTCACCTGAGGTTCTGTTTCCCCACCATCTCTTATGCAGATGACTGATCTGGGAATCAGGACTGTGACTCAATGTGTTCCAAAATGCATTTAAGGTGAAAGGCAGCCTGCTCATCTCTATCGGGGATTACCGTACTGGGGGTGGGGTGCGGATGCCAAGCCTCCTGGTCTGTTTATTAAATGAATGGCCACCGACTTCACTGGGGGCAAGCGGCAAGAGTGTGTGCTGTTTGTTGACCTTGGCAAATGAAAAACCATGACTCACTGACTGCTTGGTTCCTCAGCCTTACATAACCAAGTCTTTAAACGTGGCTGAATCTCTAATGCTTCAAGTCAGCAAACCAGAATGTTGAGCACGGTGTCCACCGCCTGACCGTGGCTAGCTAGCCACAACACGGCTTACACGCAGGACCAAACATCCTGATCAAGTTACCTTTGTCCTTCTTTTCATAAATACTGACAGACAACACAGATGTTAGCATAAATTGCTGAAAGTTCTAGTCTTATCCAAAATAAACTTTAAGCCTAGTCATTAAGAACACAAATTAACAGGACATATGCTAATTTCTTTTTTCAGGTAGAAGAAAATTGCATTTGTTTCCTGTGTGTAATTCTACCTGGACTCCAGCAACATCTTTCCGGGTAGTCCAGTATTGTTTCCTAGAAAATTAAAAATCAACCACAAGCCCTTTGGGGTAGGGGAACAGGAACTGCCCTATCCCAAATGTTATTAGGGGTAGGAATGAAAATTCCTTACACTTCAATTTTTCTTAGGCTTTATTCTTGTTTTTAAAGTAAAAGTTATAGTTAGTATTCATATTAGCAGCAAAGATCCTAATTTCTGTAAGTTAAAATGACTTGGGACTGGCAAAAATAATCTCTTGATAAAGAAAGAGGGGTCCATAGGTGGTAACAAGCGTTGGTCAATTTTGGCATTAAGCAATCTTGTTTGAGGGGTTGATCTGTGCGGAACAGACAACAGTAAGAAAGTCTCACTGGTAGCTCAGGTCCTGTGGATCTGCTGCCAGCAGCTGAGCGGGCGCGCCAGTGCGTAGGGGAAAGAGGGCTTTCGTGAGTGGAAAATTTCCATGAGGTCAGATTGAAGGGTCACAGCATCTTACTCTGGCTCATTAGTAAAGCGATCACTTCTATTAGGCAGTTGAAAGTTGAAGTAGCTTTGAAATTTCTCAATGTGTTAAAAAGTCAAATGACATAATTTTCCCTGTGATATTTTTCTGTCAAGTTTCACAACCTGAGCTTAGTAAAATGGCAAGAATCAGAAGACAGTGCAAAAGCCACAAGGAGCTTGAGAGTTCTCTGGTTTTAATCACTCCGATGGCAGAGCGGCCGAGTCTCCCCAGTGTCACCGCCCTCACGGCTGCCGGTACACGGCCAGGAGGGGACTCCCGCCAGGAAGGTTTGATCATGACAGTGTTGTCTCTTTAAAAATGATAGAAAAATCTGTTTAAATCCCAAGTTCCTAGTCTGTTTCTTAGTGAAATTTATTCAGAACAATCAAGAATGACTCATAACATAACTGCTTTCAAATACCTCTGTGTCTACTTCTTGCTAACGAGCAAAGGCAAAGAAATGCCAGCTTTGTGAGAGAGCTTGTAGTCAATCACAGAAAAATCAGGAGATGCTCTGTGCTTTCTGTAAAAGCATGTGGGATTTTTTTTTACTTAGGAAAAGACAACCCCACCCAACAATCTAGTGTAAAGTTTCCAAACTACATGCATGGCAGGCAGTACATTCGTTTCAGGATGATCCTCTGCCGAGCCCTAACCTCAGAAAGAGGCCCCTGTCATGGAGCTGTCCCTGTTCTGCTGCGTGAGTTGATCCCAAGGGAAGAAGCTCCTGGTGTGACTCAGGTCAGCACGAGGGAACATGCACTTCCATTAAGCCAAACAGCTTGGGACTTGTAACCAGGTGGGAACACCGTTCCCAGCGTCTCCACCTTTACGTCCCAGGAGAGTATTAACAGCAACACAAAGTCATTGGAATAATGGAGAATTGCCTCCTCTGTGAATTTACCTGATTTTCTCACAAGCTTGCAAAAACCACTTAAAAACTTAATTAAAAAAGTATATATGGGCATAGATACGTGCTCACATATGTATCTCCCATAATTCCAGGCTGCAATTCCCAAATGCAATCTCATCCCCCCAAAACTAGGCCAAAACACAAGCTTATTCAGGCAGAGCACCTTCCCATTTCCTAAGGGCTTGTGCTGGCAGACACATTAACATAACCACAACTGCTGTCCCGCGGACTAATAATGGCTTTGGCAGCTATCAAAGAGCAGAAGCTTCTTTGCAGGGGTCAGTAGCCTGCCTTTCACTCATTTCCCCAAACATTAGCCTGAGGAGAATCCTGTTCCTCATCTCAAAAAGATCCATTCAGGAAGAGGAGCTTTAGAGTCAGCTCTGGTGAACAGGCCAGGCTCCCAGACTGCTTCCGGCTGTGCCTTTGCAGGCGCCCTACCTCACGCCCGGCGTGCCTGCTCACACCTGTGTGCTCTTCGGTCATGACTCCTTCCTAACTGTCCCCTACATCTCCACCGGGAAGAAAGGCAGGAAGGTGGGCTCACGAAACACAGCTGAAGTCTTCCGTCTGCCGAGTTGGTCCAATGGGCCCAGGAAAAGCACGAGTGGAGGGAACAAAGCAAAAGCAAAGTGCTAAAATAGCAGCTGGGTGGCGGTTTGTCCTTCTGCGAGTCAGTGCAAAGGTGGGGAGGCAGCACCATGTGCAACCCGGCGGGCTTTCTGTGCCTGTATCTGCCGGACAGCGACGGCAGCTCCCCCCGGAAACCAGCAGTTCGGGAACAGCCACGTGGCCAGTCACCGTCGCTCGTTTGGCTAAGTCACAGGACAGGGTGGGAAAGGGCAGGGCCAGGAGAAGACAGTCCATGAGAAGATGCCCTGCAGCCCAAGGGTCTTCCGTTCCTCGGCACCCATTAGAAGGAGGAATGGTTCCCAGGGAAAATGGCTCTTGTCTGGAAATCTCCCCGGACAGCCAAAGCACGGGGAGAGCTGCGCTGACGTACCACGGTATGCACGCGCGGGTCCCAAGACCCCTGACAGACGCTTCCCAGGTAAGAGAGCCATAGGGCCCTTCTGCCCCTCACAAAAGTGTGGCTGGTTTCGCCAGACAGCATGGAACGAGCTTGGGTGGAGGGGCGTCCTAGCCGGGAGTTCCAAGTGCTCATGATTCTTCAAGATCATTTGGGAGCCTAACTTCACGGGCAGCCAACTGGCTGCAGGTGATTCTGGAGGAGCTGAGACAATGCCTCTTTCCCTTACCAGCCTCTGGAGGAAGAGGCTGACAGTGTGGGACGGGAGGGAAGACATCTGAGAGAGGCAGGCCTGTTCGGGGGGAGGCCATGTTCGCCGTCAGTTCCCGTGAGAAACCGAAGCTTCATGGGAGGAAGGAACTGAAGGTGGGACACCAGGCAGAAAAGCTGAGTGAAAGGACAGTGAAGTAGAAATGAACACAGAAGGGTTTTTTTTTTTTTTTGGTATTTTTTTTAACCACAGGAAGACAAATAGTTAATCCTTTCACATGCCTTTTTACTGGGGAGACTGAAAATTATTGCCATATTATGGGATGCATTCCCTAGCAGGACCCCAAGCCTGCCTGTCTGCATAGTATTAAGGAATAAATACTTGTCAATCCTCTAGAGAAAAAGCTCTCGTTTGCTTAGTCTAAAGCCACCAGGTGTTCCTCCGCTGTACCTGGTGTCACCACATTGACAGGTGTGAAGAGCGGAGGGGGTCCCAATAAAATGAAGGATTTGTCCTGTGCTCCAGGACGATCTGCAGCTGATGGGTAACGGGGAGACCTGAGTATGGAGGCCAATGCTCAGCAGCACAGAGTCTGCCCGACAAATGGCAGCTGCAGCTTTCATCTTAAACGGCAGTCGCACCAAACTCGGGGCTGCGAACGCGTGTCCTGGGGGAGCCACTCCTCTGTCAGAGGCCCCCACTGACCCTTCTCTTCCATTTCCTTTTCTCAGATTTGCCACCCACCCTGAACCCCGAGGCAGTTACCATGTGTAGGGTCAGATGTGAACTGCAAATTCCAAGCCAACATAAACTTTATCAAATGCGGATTTTCCCTCTCACCTAAAGCTCCGAATTGTTTTGACTCTTGGGGATACCTTTCTGGCTGCCCTGTTTTTGGAATCTGTTTTCCTACGGGCACAATATCCACAATGGGTCTGCATCAAACTGATGGGGACTCTCATCCGTGGACGCATCTGAGTGCTGCACAGCCATAAATAAAAATCCCTTTACTGTATCAATAACTGAAATGGCAGAAGAGGGGAGGTGGATCTTACTTGAAAGAAGATGACTACTTAAACACAAAAACACAGAGGGAATAAATTTAGAAAGGTACAGAAAAAAATCCACACCAGGCAACGCTCGAGGGTGCAGGGCCGGATCTGCCGCTGGAGAAATGCTGTTCCCCTTGTATCTGATTTCAGTGCTTTCCAAGTAGGTGGGCAGATGGTGGAAAATAGAGCAGCTTCTTTTTTTCCTCTCTGTCCCCTGACTCTGTTGCGGGGCAGTGCTCGCCGCCAGGGGGCAGAAAGCAGCATCCCTCACCTGCGCTGCGGTGAGGCAAGGTCCCACTCTTAGTTTTCCAGTGCAGCCCCGGGCGCTACTGTAGTGACTCGGGGATGGTGCTGACAACGTGCGCTGCCTCCGGGGCTGCTGGAGGGGAACCGAAGAAGGTGTTGGTTTGGTTCCTCTGCTGATCTCGGAGGTAAGGAGGAACGGAGGAGCTTTTGATGTGGAGGATCCTGGTGTCCATCACCTGACAGTCAATCTGCATCATCACTTCGTAATCTTGTCCATTGATCACGTTCTCTGCAGAGAAGAACATATACAACGAATAAATATTCAACAGAACGTGCAATTCTGCTGGAGCTCCAATCCCAAAAAGACATCCGTGAGCTCTAAGGTGTGAACTGTCGATACATTTTCAAGGGTACATAGGGACCTCACCAGGCAGAGCTATAGCCAGGTGTGTGCAGAGATGGCCTGTCTTCTCTCCAATTCTAGCTCCCAAACAATCTCTGCTGGCTCGGTAAGCACTGGGGCCACGGTCAGAGTTAACACTGCAGAGCCCCTGTCTACAGACATTCCGTGTCCTGTATGTTTTCCCTGCAGTATCCCCGTGACTGGGGCAACTGGAACAGGAGATTGTAGTGAGGGGTAGACGGAGCAATACTGAAGCTCTCCCCTCCCTTTCAACAGTGGGAAGGGATGTTTGTCAAAGGGATCATATCATGTGAATGGTAAGGAGACCTTGGCCAAGACTGCTTGGCTCCTATTCATCAGTAACATTTCTGATTTCATTAAGACATTCCCAACTACAAATTTAAGGGTTTGCCTTAAGAATATAAAGTAGAATAAAGACCAAAAAAACTTAGAGACATCTGACAATGATGCTCTTTCTTAGAGATCACTGTCACTGCCCTTCCCTACTAGGGCGATCTTCAATTCCAGAGTTCTTACCTCCAGGTACATTTGCAATTTGGGATTGAAGGGACTTGCAGGTAAACTAGAGGATCTTTGCAAAAGGGAACAGGAAAACCATATAAAGTCCTGGTTAATGTGTACAGGGTAACTTACTATCATGAGTTTACTACACAGACCGCACTACACTCCATTCTTCCTAAGAGAATGAAAGCTCTTTGTTTTAGGGAAGGCCAAATTACTTCCTGATTTGTGATTCTGGGTGGTCATTTTCCAACTCATAGTTAATGAAACCTCGGCATCAAACTGATGAATTACAAATAGGTAATACTTTTCAAGTCCAGCTGGACATTCGCAGCAGCAATGCAGTTAGAAGATGTGTGAACTTGGAAGAATGCTAGGGGGTCTGTGTGGCCTCTCGGCCTCCACTGTCGTGTCTGGGCAAGGGGGCCGGGAAGACAGGCTACTAGCGAAGGCCTAGTCCTGTGCCTACTTTCATGAACAGGAGATAGAGCCAGTCAGTCATTTAAAAAATTAAACATATGGCTTCTCTAGGACAAAAAATTGAATTTAAAAGTAGAGGTCTTTCTATTCTGTTTTTTCCTATCTTTAACACTATGCATACCAAGTATCATACATCTAGAGGAAGAAAGTCCAAAGTTTGACACTTGATCTTCAGATTCCATTGTTACGTTTGGGAGGACTGAGCCATGAAACCTGTCACTTAGGAGGCTGTGAAAGATCTGTGGAAATCATCTGATCCCGGGTGTTTATATTAGGGCCTAATGCGTAAACTTCAGGGAGTCCTGAAGCTCCCTGAAATTGCATGCAGTTTTACCTGTATGTGCATTTTTCTGGAGAGGAGCTGCATCAGAGTCTCAATGGGGTCTTTAAATACCTTGAACAGATGATATGCTCTATTTTAAAACTAATGGAAGACACCATTCCTCCATTTCTACTGGTCGGTTTTGTTTCGTTTTTTAAAGTTATCTCCATTGATGAATTTCTAATTACAAGTCTTATAAATCTCTTATTTCAGTTGAAACTAATTTCCTTCTTTGCCAGCATTACTAGAGATGAAAACGAGCTGCTGCTGCTGTGATGTGAATGTGACAGGAAGTGGGCTTGGGCTCTTCCTACGCCACCATCTCAGACCCACGTATTTCGATTGGGACCGCACTGAATTCGTAGATTGCTTTGGGTAGTATGGATACTTTAACAATATTCATTCTTCCAACCCATGAGCACAGAATATCTTTCCATTTCTTTAATTAATGTCTTATAGTTTGTAGTGCGTATGTCTTTCACCTCCTTCGTTAAATTTATTCCTAGGTTATTTTATTCCTTTTGATGCAACTGTGGATGGCATTGTTTTCCTGATTGCTCTGATAGATTTTTGTATCCTGCAACTTTACTGAATCCATGTATTAGTTTTAACAGTGTGTTGGTAGAGTCTTTAGGGTTATCTATAGTATCATGTCATCTGCAAACAGTGACAGTTTTATTTGACCCTTCCTTTCAATTCATATGCCTTTTCTTTCTTTTTCTTGCTGAATGGCTGCGGCTAGGACTCCCCATACTATGCTGGATACAAGTGGGCGCCCTTCTCTTGTTCCTGATCTTAGGGGAAAAGCTTTCATCTTTTCACCATCGAGTACAACGTCAGCTGTGGATTTGTCACATGCAGCCTTTACTATGTAAGGCACATTCCCTGTATACCCACTTTGTTGAGTTTCTGTCATGAATGAATGTTGAAGTTCGTCACGTTTCTAAATCTATTGAGATAATCGAATGACTTTTATCTTTCATTTGTTAATGTGGTATATCATGTTGATTAATTTGTGAATGCTGGACTATCCTATGAATGTTATTTTGCTTGATGTTGTCCCATAGGTCCTTTGAGATTATTTTCATTTAAAAAAATTCTTTTTCTTTTTGCTCCTGCCCACTATCTTCTCTTCTGGCTTGCTGGTTGTTCTTCTGTTTAATGCGGTCTGTTGTTGAACTTCTCCGGTGTATTTTTCAGTTCAGTTCTTGTATTCTTCGGCTCTGTGACTTCTGCTTGGCACTCTCGTATTTTCTGTCTCTTTGTTGAAGTTTTCACGGTAGTCATCCACTCTTCTCTCAAGTTTGGTGAGCATCTTTATGACCATTACTTTGAACTCTTTATCAGGGCAAATTCCTCATCTCTATTCCATTAGTATTTTTCTTTCTTTCTTTTTTTTTTATCTCTGAGGATTTAACCTTGTTCTTGTGTTTGGAACACTTCCCTCTGTCCCATTTTGTTTGGCTTTCTGTGTTTGTTTCTAAGAAACAGGACAGCTATCTGGGGCCACGATCACAATCCCTGTTTGCCTACACCAGGAAATCTGGGAGTGTCCCCTGGGTGACAGCTGCAAAAACTGGGGCTCCAGATGATCATATAGGCCCCTTTCTGGGCAGTCCCATCAAGCTGCAGTGAGGCCACGGGGGTACGCAAGGATGGGGTTTCCCTGCTTAGGCCTCCTAGGAGCAACTTAGCTTTCCGGTATGTGGGAAACATGAATCTTATCCCTTAGCCCAAAGCTCCAAAAGTAGGCCTTTTTCACAGGAAGACCGGGGTTTTCATTCCATTGTCTGTGAAGTGCCTGGGGGGAAGGAGGGGGTACTGTCCTGCCAAGGACTGTTCTCCCGACTGTGGCGCTCAGGAATGCCAGCCCCCTCACCCACAAGGGCCAGGTGTGATCAGGGGTGCCCTTGGTGTGGACCGCATGCACCTGTTGTCTTTAGCGGGGCAGCTGGAGAGCCCAGCGGGTGAGGTGCACCCACAGGGCCCCAGGAGGCAGTGAGGAAATGTCTTGATGTGTGGGTTTCAGGACTGTGGTGAGACAGCGCCTCGCCTGTGCCTGTGTGCCAGCTCTAGGCTGGGAGTGGGAGAATGCTGCAGCCACCCACGGTCTCCTGCCCCCACCAGGCAGCAGGGGAGTGCTGCAATGGGCCACGCTCCCAGTTCCCGCTGGGCAGTGGGGTGGTGCTGTGACTGTTTGACCCGCCTGTCTTAGCCAATTGGCAGGACGGTGCCGCTTCTGAGCTGACTGGCCTGTGTGCTAGCATCTTGTCTGTCTGCTATCCTCTGTCCCTCAAAAGAGTCTCAACTGTCCCCTGCCCCCCCAGCAGATGCTTTGGGATGAGCAACGAATTCCTCCACATACAGTAGGTGCCTTTCAAACTGCTTTTTTTTTTCATCAGGTCTCAGGGTAACTGAGACCACACGTGAGCCCTTTAGAATGGGAATCTCCATTTCCTGTAGCATTCTGGGTCCCTTTCAGCCCTGTTGGATCTCTAAACCAGATGTTTTTGGGGCTCACTTGTCTGGATCCCAGGGGTTAGGGTGCCTGATACAGGAGAAGTTCTGGACTGACAAGACCCCTCCTCACGGTGCTGCCACGCCAAGAGCTTGGTGAGACCGGGCGTTTGCCTGTCCTACGGGTTCTTGCTGTGGCCTTTCACCCTTTGTTGTGGAGAAGCAGTTCATCTCGTCTACAGATCCTTTTCTGAGGAGAATGATCCATATGTAGTCATAGCTTTGGTGTGTCCAGGGGAAGCGGAGAGTTCAGGAAAGTCCTAAGTGACCATCTTGCTTATCTTTAGAGAATTACCTCCGAATGCCTATGAGTCAGCCAGTGCTTCCTATCCACGTGTTTTCCAAAAAGCAGAAGACAGAAGAAAGACAACCTCCAAACGTACTTGGAGTCATTTCATTCAGAGCATGTGACTGAGTTCAGACTGCAGGTGTCACACCAGTCATTTCCTCCTGGAACTGTGGTCCCTCCCCGTTAAAAACAAAACCTGAAAGACTGTGTGTGTGCGCGCGCATGTGTGCACGCACACACGGGGGCACGTATGACCAAATAATGGAAAACATATGTATTAGCACTGTAATACACATTAGTAATTTTTACTGTTTTCCTGGATTAACTCAGAATCCAGATGACAGTTTAAGATCAAGACTACATTCTCTCATACAGCCCAAACCACCTGCAGAAGTCATCAGAGCCTGTGTCCCTGCTATGGTTCAAACTGATAGCTGGAGTTCTTTAATACTTTAAAGATCGAGAAGAAATGGAAAACCTGGGGATTTAAGTTCAGAAGCTTCGAGGGTAAACTAAAGCTATGACCTGATTCCAAAACCTGGGAGCCCCTGTCATGGCTAAAAAGGCATTGCTATTTTAAGCCCAATCAGAAGGAGACTTGGGCCAGGAATGGCCTAGGGGGCTTTAAAATGGGCTCTGTCCTTCACTCCTTTCTGAGGATAATGGCTTCTGGTCCAAGGAAACGGCCACATTACTAGAAGAAGTCTACCAGACCAGATGTGAGCGTATAAAGCTGCCCACGGGAAGCCTCTTCTG